CCAACCTACATTCTTCCTTAAAGCTACACACACCTCAGTTTTGTAGCAAAAACCGAGAACATTCCCAAGTTGGTATGGCCATATCCACATCAGGATTTTGTGTGTGGACCATCTTCTATGTTTTTTTTGAAGTGTAGCTAACCATAGCCCATTTGTGTCTGCACACACACCAAAGAAAACTCTTTAAACAGAAAAAACTGCAAGGATGCAGAGAAAAGAAACGGCAACAGCAACTATTTACATTAGTTGGACAGAGTTTTTCATAGATGTGAAACCAGGAGAGAGAACTTCTTAATTTATTTAGAAAAAGAAGTTGTTCATGCATGTGTTGAGGACAGCTGCATTACTGAGAGGTATAAAATGCTGATACTTTTTTCTTCAATAGGTATGTACACACACGCTTTGAAGGCTGAGCACCTTCAATAAGTGCACCAGTATGCAAAGAAGCCACATTTAGAAAGGCAAACATTTAAAAATATGCTAACTTGTACAGCAAATATGCACAGAATATATGACTGCTGCTATATTTATGTATCAGCATTGATACATACTTTATGGCCCTATTAGCCTCTGTATGGGGGACAGATCATGTAAAAATCATTGATTCTAATTGCTAAAACTTTAAGGGTTTATGCTTTCACTGATGTTTATGAGTCACTTCATGTAATGCCAAGATGATAGCTCACATTTACCTTTTTGACCGCTTATCAAAACTGACTCAGTCATTCAATCACAAAAGACAAAGTAGTTAAAGAAATTCCTCAGAAACATCTGCTTTCTGTCACAGAGTGGCAGACAGAAAAGGTGTATCAAAGTGACACCTCCTTATTTGTAAGGCATTTATTGACTCCAGCTTGCTTCTCCTGACTACATAAGACAGCTATACACCTCTAACAGTGCTTTAATGTAGACATTCTTTCAGCTCGTTTTTTTAATGATGCATTCTTGTGTTGTGGCCTTTACTCTGTATTGCTAATCTAATGGGAAGAATTCTAACTTGAAATCGTAATGGTTCTACACAGGTAAGATGCAAACCTAGTAGCCATTTGGTGAGAAGTCAAACTAACCTTGCAAAAAGGCGGTTCATGCTTACACCACGCACCTGTTTTACACAAATCTGAACTTTCTCATTCTTATCTGCTTTCCCAGAAGCCTGCACATCCTCAAACAGAATAGAAACATTAAGGAGTCACTGTAAGAGAGACAAAGACTGGTAAAGGATTTAATGCAATGGGGCAGAAGAATAGTTTTCAAGATCGGAAAGCTACTTCCAATTTCCCACTTCAAAACAGATTCAAATGGTCTCCTTGTAAATAGTTTCTAGCATAATTCATGAGCTGAGAAAACAGTTTACACTTTGTCTTGTCAAAGCCTGTCACAAAGCAATTTATAGCTAGAGGTGAAGTTGGCAAGGTAATAGGAGCATCAAATTTAGGGGTAATTAACTCAGTAGGGAACACATTCCACAGGGACTGCTAGCAAAAGGTGCTTCTGGCCAGATAATAGACAAAAGTGGGGCCAGGGTAATTACATGGACAATAACTGGGAAACTCGTTAGCTACCTGCCAATGCTTGAAGAACTTACCAAATTCAGTAACAAGAATCGCCTGCCAAAGTGAGGGCTAAGATGGAAAAGGAATTATCTTTTTGGGGTGACCATTACAACATAAAATCTTCCTTTAAATTTAACTTGGCTAACTTAAGTTTTTAAGTAAACACAGAATCCTTCGAACTTGGACATCTGCTTTCTCTGGCATATTGTAATCCATTGTTGTCCATCTAGCAATTTACAAGCAAAGGAAGAGCAGGAAGTACGCAAAAGTGAAGAATAAAAAAAAATAACCCAAACAACATAACAGCATCAATTCTGTGACAGAGCAGCATTGTTAAGATTCTGCATTATTTGTGAGAAATGAATTTCAGAAGGCATTCAAGAACATAAAATGTTTACATGCCATTGAAATACTACTTTAATTTCAGTTCATAATAATCTGTTGTGAAATGCCTGTTTAAGACAAGAGCAGTTAATAATTTACTACTGAGCAGACAATAGTAAGACTCAATAGACAGAAATAGCAAGTTATAATTTGAATTCTAGATTGTTAAACATTAGTCTGACTCAAGGCTTTCTTTAAGGGCTTCTTTTGAATGATATTTAAATACCTTCTCCAGTTTTGCATAACTTAGTTAAAAGGTATTTACCTATGGCCGATTCATAAGGCAATTATGTTACTTTTGACAAACCAGCCAGAGTTCATACCCTTCCCAGTCAAAATTCCTTCCCCTTTCATAAGCTGCAGTGTTGGTCACAGAAGTACCACAGCTCCCAGTATGCCAGTGCCTCTGATCTGCTGCTTCTCCCAACAACACCCCCAAAGCAAGAGATCTCTTGCTATCACCTGGCCTGTCATCATCAGGGCATGATCTATGCTCATCCACATAGTTACTCCACTGGCTCAACTTAGTTTGACATTGTCCATTTAGGAGCAGCTTAATAGTGTAAAGCCGGCATGACTGGTGAAGTGTTTTAAGAGCTTATACACAACTACTGCAGACCTATCTATTGTTCTCTGTAAGCTTATTTGAGACTCTAAATCTGGGCTCCCCAAGATCAGAACCCTACCTCTTCTATTCAAGGAGGATGCCACCTCTTATGTCCAGACATTTTCTCCCTCATCCTCTGACCTCAACCTAATCTAGATAGCTCATTCATTGATTCAGACACTAATCCTAAAGATGTTGTTTCTGTACCATCTCAAGCACATATGAAGTACTGTCAGTGTCATTGTCTTCTCCTTAGTAAACTTTCTGATGGGCTGAGAGATAAGCCAAGGATAGCTCATAGGGGTTTCCCATGTCTCTTTTCTAATATACTTTCATAATAGCAGCATCTCCTCTTTGTATGGACTACTTGCACAAGGAACATCACCACAGGGCAGCCCACCCTCAAGAGATTAAATTTTGTCAAGAGGTCTCCACAGACAGACATACTGAGACTGGAACAAGCAAACACTGATTATGCTTTGTGCTTTTTTGTTATTCTGCTTACTCTTCTCTTCAGTAATAGATCACTAATTAATAGCTGTGATTATTTGGCTTATCTTTAACCATGGAGAAGAAATTAACCTAAGTGATGTGCAAGCCTGCAGGTGGGAGTAGTGGAAAGGGGTAATGTAAAGATGCTCTTTCCTGAACTGTCTTTAAAGCAAATTTGCCCCTCTGTTTTCTATATACTGTAAGTGTTCCATACTGTCTAAATACAAAATTACATGACTGTGAGCACCTGAAGAAAAAATAAAAACCATTTCCTTCCTGTACTACCCTTCAACCTATGTACAAATTGCAGGAACTGCCCATTAAACAAACAGCTCTAACTAATATCTCTGGCCTAAACATATCACAAACTGCCACTGCAAAAACCAGTATGAGCACACTTCACGCTTCCTTGTCCTTTTTTACTTGTTTGTCAGGTGAACTTCCGCTTTGTACTTTCCTTCACGCTGCTCTGTTCTTGGAAAATCTTGTGTTCTGTCTTTCCATTGACTTCCATACAGAAACAGTCCTGGAAGCCTACTCGTCTTCTCTGATTTGTTCTGCTCCCCAGCCTGAACTGTCACTGTACGCCCAAGATTTCCAGGTAAAGTGCTAACTTTTAGAAATTAAGTGCATGTAAATGACTGCAAAGCATATTCTGAACTTCATTTTATTAACAGTGTTTAGCAGAGCTCTTAAAAATAAATCATATCCCTGGAGGTCTGCATAGGACAAACTAAAAACCAGCACTTAACATAGCATAGGAAAACAGTGATATCGCATAAGCAGCTAGCAAAGACAGAGTAAAGACACCTTATATGAGCAGGAAGATTGTTCTTTTGATAAAATACAGATTAACTGATCAACATCAGGGGACAGAGAGTAAAATATTTATGAATTTAGGACAGATTCAAGTTCACAGCTGCATGATGGGGGAAGAGGGGAGTATTATGTGCAAGGTGAAACGAAAGGAGTTGCAGGAGTTAAACAGCTCCAAAGTAAAATGTTCGATTTTGGGTCAAAATTGAACTCTACTGGGATGGGGGTTTTTTGTTGATGTTGTTGGTTTTTCATTTTATTTTTCTAAAGACAGAACATTTCTACTGTAGATGAACTCAAATTATTATTGCTTTTAATCTTTGCCCACTGACTATTAAAAGCATTGTATTCTTGTGTCTCATAATAGCATTCTATCTAAAATGCTAACACTGCTCTTAACACGGTCCCAAGCTTTTCAAAAGTCTCCACTGAAAGCTGAACACCTGAGGAACAGTATTTACTATTAACAATGGCCCTTCTCAGTGCCTCATTCAACTTGTTCATATGCTGTATAACAATGTGAAAAACACCAAATTATTTAATAAAAATACTTATGAATAGTTAAAATTCTTTTTACAGATAAGCAAACAACAGATCATATAGGAGAGCATGGAAACCACAGTAATGAATATGGGCCTTATGCGGATCTCTCTAAAAAGACCTTTGAAAAAGTAAAATTGTTCAGATACTTCCTCAAAGTGGCAAACTATCATTAGAGATTTCATGCATGGTGAAAGGCTCTGCTGCTAGAATCAACAGGAAGCAGTGTCACTGGCTGATACTGACCCAGCACTAACAATTTACAAAGGACCCAACAGGCATGGGAATGTGCAAGACAAAGTTGAGAGCATAGTTGGTAACAGTCCCACTTACTTTATCTTACTTATAATCACCACACTTGACTCTGGCTATTCCCAGAAAGTAATGAAAGTAATTCTGGTCTTCTTTTTCACTTTTCTTTACCAATATTCTTACAAAGCAGTCACTGTTCTAGCACAAAACAAAAAATGCATGCTTTGATGTCTCTAGAAGAGGTTAGCACATTTATTCTCTAGTACTCTTCACATGCATCTCTCACAGCTACAATCAGTTTCATAGCTTCTAGCAAAGAAAACTTTTAACGTTTTTGGAAATAAGGGCTTACTTACTGAGCATTTGAAATACAATCACAATTTGATAGCTGATGTCGAAAATTTCCTTCCTTCTGACAGCCAGCCTTTAAATAACAGGATCTAATTTCCCCTTTAGGAATTAGAAGAAAAAAAAATAAAATCAGTTCAGCAATGTGATCATTTCTTTTACATACAAAGTTTATAAAAAGTACATTTTAGGTCAGGCACATTTCTAAACATGTTTTTTAGTCTGTGCACTAGGCTTATTTTAGACTTCAGAAAGCAAATTAACATTTGAACTGAAAATCTGAGACAAAACACGGAAGTTACAGTGAAAATCTAAACGGTACGTACAGTAAGTGCAAAGGCCATCTATCAACATAAATCCACTGTAAAATGTGAAATAATAGATCTTTTTCTTTTAGTTCAAAAAGTTGAGGTCAGGAGGCACACAGCAAGGAAAAACTGTTAAAAGTGTAACCACTGCTACTCCCTCCTTGCATACACAGCAACATGTGAAGGGTCACTGCTCATTGACCCAGAGGCCATGCTATCTGTCTGACTGGCAGCTGCTGGTCTTAGTCCCACAGCACACCAGAGAGCTGCAGGGCTGCAAGCAGGGCTGTTAACTGGCAGAAAACCAAAGCATCTCTGGGGTCACAAACCCAGCTACCAGGAGCACTCAATTCCATACTGGCTTTGAAGGCAGCTTTAAGGAAAACACAGCTTTTGGGACAGCTGCCTTTCACAGGTATGGGCCAGTACATCACCAGGCACTACACCAAGTTCAAACAACCAATCATCAAGCATATCACAGCTTCAGGCTCTAGGAATAGCTGCAGAGCAGCCGCATACTAAGCACAGGCTCAGGACATGACCAGGTCACTCATTAATTCTCTTGGAAGAGGTAGCAGGCCACAACTCTGAACAACGGCAACTATCATGTTAGAGAGAGCTCTGTGTGAGCCAGCCAAAAAACAGAACAGTAAAGAGGAGGCACATTTTGCTCAGCCAGGCCAGTGCAAAACCCTTCACCAGGCAGAAAGAGCCACTGATGGTTCTGCAAAGGCAGAAGTAGTCTTCTGGCCTAGCCAGCATTTCCTGAGGATGATGTTTGGAACATACTTCACTCACTATGCAAGTCTCATGTCTCTGATGGTCACTGGTGGATTTTGAAAACTCCAGGTATTGCTGACTTGACTTTAAATTACTAAGCCCTTTTCTCTGATTTACACAGAAAAGCATGCAATCAGTAATAGACAAGAGAAATATCCTTCCAGGGCATCCAAAGTTTCTTTAGAATTTCCTCACATTTGAATAATTCCAACTATAGAAACTCACCATTTTCATCTATGAACACGTGCATTGCATCCACGGATAGCTCATCTTGCACAGACGCCTCAGGTCCACTTATTACTTGCAAGACAGAACTGTCTTGCTGAGAAGTTACCCGGTAGATTATCTGCCTTTGCCTGCTGCCCTGGTAACTTGACACAAAAATGTTTCAAAACTACTATGAGGAACTTTTTTTCTTGTTTTCAATAAAACAAAAAGAAAGAGAGGTTAATTAAAAGTTTATGTCATTTCTAGTCGGTGAAACAGAACAGCTTACATCATAACTTTGAAGTACAAAATTGTAAAGTAAACTGGCCTTACAGTGCTGCAAATTTGGCAGACTCTGGTAGCACCGGACTAGTACTAGCACGATCTTGGCTTTGTACATCTGATCTTTCCTGTTTAGGAAGTTGCTCACAGTGCTTTTCTGTTCCCACCACTTCTTCTTTTCTCTCCGTTGTCTGGCTATCTGGAAAACAGGGCAGTGAAGTGGAGCCACTCTCCGTAGATGACTGTTAAAGAGTTTTGTTCATTATCTATTGAAAAAGGACATCTAAAAGAGAAAAGCTAAAACACTACAATAAGTACTGGTCTTATGGAAAACACTAAAATTACCTAAAACAACACAATCACAGAAATCTGGACGAGGAGGTCCTCTGACTTCAGGAGGCTTCATGAATGGGCTGTTTTCAAGAACAAGCAGTGTGAAGCAAAGGACAAACTAGAGAGAATTTCTGCTTTGCTTCTCCTATTGTTTCAGAGGAAAGCAAACTGTCTCTAACCTAGAATGCTAAAAGGCTGCTTCCCTGGGGGCCATAATTTGTTCCCAAGCTGTGTATAGCAGCAGCAGAAAACCAGAAGCACTGGACCATTCCTCTTTTACAAAAGGGAAAGCAGCACCTTCAAAGGAAATAGAGCTCTTGGGTGGGAAAGCAGGTACATGCCTAATACCCTTTCTCCACTGGCCACACACCTGATGCAGGGCAAATTGGCTAAGCAATTTCACAGTAGATTTTCATATGCTTGGAAAATACAGAACTCTAGATCTTAAAACATGATGGACTTACCAGATTTCTACTACTTTAAATACCAATTACGTTTATATTACCTCTCCACATATACATGTCATTTACTTACACATGTGAACCACTTTTAAGCAATAGTCTCAAAACTTACTAATATTCATGCTAAAAAGCAAAACATTTTGTAACATTTTGTGCTTTGACTGCAAACAAAAAGAATTATCTGTTAGGCTTTTAAAGTGCAACTGAGACAGTGATTTCATCAGCACTGTGTGCAGTTGCCCAGTTAATGCTTTGAAAGAAAAACACAGCACAAAGCTGTATTGAAATGTACTTACTCAGATTTCTTGCAATACCTGCTGTTTAAATACCTTAGAAATATAATCAAGAAAAAAAAAACACAAAACCCACAGAATTCTCCCCCCTTCCCCTGCCAAAAAAAAAAAAAATCATTTGTTAAGCCATATTTCCTACCATTATAATCCCCATCCTAACCTGCAAGAGCCACCAGTCAAGAAACAGTGGTAACCTAGCTAAGACGGTCTGAGGATAAAACAGATTCAAGGCTTGTAGAGAGACATAATAATATCTTTTATTAGGCTAAATGATGCAACTGAAAAAAAAAGCAAAACAGCTTTGGGATAGGCAGACCTTTCAAATCATCTGTCTTGTCTTCCTCCAACCATACTAGCTGATCTAATAATACATCACTTCTACAAACAAACCTCCTGAGTTGAGACATCTCTACACCAGTATCAATATACAGGGCACACCCTTCTAATACCTTAAAGCCCAAGACACTCACACATAACTACTTTTCACTGCAGACACTTGACATTTACTTTTGGGGAAGGGGGAGGAAAAGAGGGAGAATCCAGAAGCATAGGAACAACTTTAACTGTATGACCACACAGTGTTTTTTTCAGCTTCCACAAGGAGGAAAAAACCAAATCTCACTACAACATTGCCAACGTTCCAAGTCTCACGCTGTCTGTAGCACACAATTACCAAGGATCCCTATTTCTTGTGCAATAAATACAATGAGTGTAAGGTTGGTATAGGGAAATCTTGTGTGTGTCTCTTGTGCATGGAGAGAAAATTCAATAGGTCTTCCAGATCTACTTCCTTCTATTTAGGAGGAAAAAAAAAATAAAAGCAGGGAGGGAAGCAGGCAACTTTTTTTCTTTTTTCCCCTTTTCCTAATTAAAGATTTAAAGTCCATTTTAAAGAGAAACTGTGCCTTATTTAACAGTGGCCTTAGTGAAGCTTCCCCTTAATGCTGTAACTGCTGCTGAGGGAGGTGACAGAGCCACAGACACCTAATCAAAATCACCTTCTAAAGGTTTGGGCTGCTCAAGCCATAAGAATAATTGATAGAGATCAGAAACTGTAGTTTTAATAATCTAATTGGTCCCATATTGCCCAAACTAGCTCTAGGGCTGGAACAATTAAAAAGACTTTTTAATTTGATTATCTAGTGGTTTTAGAAAATGTCTCTTTCTTTTCCATTCCAAACCACAAGCCTTGCAGACTTATTTTCCCTGCAGTAGTAAAGAGCCATCATAATAAAAACATAAACCTACTGCTTCTTACAGGCTTTACATGCCAATCAGACAACACCATTGTGATGAGTACTTCCAGCACGGTAAAGGTGGGCCACAATAGGTTTGTGACTGGGTTTCATGATTATTACTCATTTTCTTCCAAGTGACTTACACCTTCAGTATTTAAACGGAGATAGTGGTGTCTAGACTGGGAGTGTTCTGCCAGGCTACGTAATCAACTCCACGTCACCAAAAGCTCCCTGCATGGAAATGTGTGCTGGCAAAGCTGAAATGACTAGGAAAAAACTCTCTAAGAGCAAGAGAAGAGTAAAAAGCACAACATGGCAGTGCACCTGAACCTTCCCTGTGGCCTCCTAACACAACCATTTATCCCAAGCCACTGCTCCACATGTCTCTGGCGTACACACGGCTGGGGTTGCAGAAGCCCCAAGCTTGGCAACTAATGTCATAATTTATCTGAAAATTACATGCCAAATGACTCAGGTATGTGAGGCATAACTATCGGGAATCATGGCTAAGTTAGGCTTGGGGAAGGGTGATTCAGAGGAGTCTGGCACAACCAGCCAAGTTTTAGTCTGTATACCATTTTCCTATTTTGATTGAGAATAAAATACATCCTTTAGTTATCCTGGTAAAAGTCTTATTGAGATAAACATTTCCTATACACTCCATATGGGTATAAGATACTTTATGTAAACATTTTTATCTGCACTGAAGAGTAGTAACAGCATAGTAACATGTAAAAATGTAACATCCCAACACTAACAAATGAGCTCCTAATTCAAACACAGTCATACTACCAAAATTTCCTTTGTCATGTAACTTTTCCACTTGCGGAACAAATTCTGGGTACCCAAAATCGTCTCTGCAGACAAGCTTTTGGTTTACACTGGCAGGAGGCTGAAAAGTTTTACAGTTGAGATGGAGCAGCCTTTGTATACACAGTAATGATAATAACCAACTGACAGTGTATCTCAACTTTAATGTTACCTTATTAGGCAATTAAAATGAAGTTTTATTGGTCTGTAACTTTTCTCCAAAAATACTTTTACTGTTTTGTGCCATCTCTTCAGAATCTCACAGGCATTTTCTCTCATCTTTCACTTGTATATCCCTATTCTAGTCTCTGTAACTCACTCCTGTAAGTAAAAATGCCACTGCTGTCAATTTCAAACACCATCTGGTTTGAAATCTGGTCAAGCAGAATTAAGCTAATTAAGGCTGAGACTCATCTGTTCATTCATTGCTGTGCTACAGAATCTAGTTCCTTCTGTAACAGTATGCTTCAAAATAGAAAGTGTCACTTTAAAATATATTTATTGCCTGTTTGGCCACAGAGATAATTGATTTCAAATTGTGCTATGATTTTGCTAGTACCAGCATGAAAAAAAGCTATGAGTTGTGAACTGTCCCATTCATATCCTAAGGATATTCCCAACCCTTTCTTCGCTGACTGTTCCAGCAGAAACATCTAACTTATGTGCTTTATTCTCAACCCAAATTTGTCTATTATGCCACAAATATATTAAAAGAACCTGATATTAAACCAAACAAAAGTCCAAGAATTGTTATAAGAGTTTAACATGGCTACCAAAAATTACATGGGATTACCGAGTAATTAGGATTACTACATTAACCCTGAAGCAACAGGAAAAATTAGCGATACTCACTGTACCTGTTACAGGACAGGGAGAGTTAAGCACAAAAGTGACTTGCTCAGAACAATCTCCTAGGCCAGCAGAAGACCTGGGAACAAACTCAAGGCTTTTGAGGTCTCAGTTAAGTAGCCTAATCAATATACCTAATAATTATGGCAGAATACAGACCTCTGGAAGTAACCTCATGGTTAATTTACAGGTCTCAGCCTTGTCATCAAACTTACTATTACCTCTTTGATCTAAAGACTGAAATTTTAAAGTCTCAACCTGTCAAGCCTTATACATGAAGTATCAGATTTAGAGAACTGAGTTTTACACCCTATTTCTTACCCACCCAAAGAGGGGCATCAAATGCCACATGGTCCCTCCCTGGACCATGGATGAGAGCTCTGATCCAGGGATGGCACACAGCTGCACCAAAAAAAGAGCTGGCACTGGGCAGGACTTTGTGTCCTAGGTGCTACCTGCTGCCAGCAAACTCCTCTGCTCTCCCCTCTCAACACGGCTCTCATTTGGGCTGGTGACTCAATGTGCAAGACCCCTCTTCCCCAGGATTACATGTCAAGCAATAGGGCTCTTTCTCACACACAGCGGAAAAAAACTGAGGAGTCTAAGAATATCCACAGGAGTATGGTTTAGTTTTTCATAGGAGAAGGGTAATTGCTTGGGATCCAGAACTCACTTGAGGTTGTGGCTTGTGCACAGCCCAGAATGATGAGTACCTTTTCTAAAAAGAGCCTGCAAAAACATCTTAATTCAGGCCACACAGTCCTGGTTTAGGGTCTCCACCACTCCCATGGCAGGCTTTGATCCCTTGCAATAGCATTGCCTGGCCTAGATTACAAACCAGCTGTGTCAGAGGGGACATACATGAGATTTTGCCCTGCATAAATCTGATTCACAGATGCTCTTACTTAGCTCCAGACATGCCAGAGGGACCCAAAGCAGCCAGTAAACCTGGCCTTCCTTATGCTTCTCACAGACTGAAGAAAATTCACCCTCTTTCATTATGTGGGTGGTACAAACTTCATTCAGAACTGAAAGGACACTGGCCTGAAAGTCATTTTCAGCAATGGTGTCAGTGGTACTTTCTTATGATCTAGAAGAGGTGGGATGGCAACAGAACAGCCTTAAATGGCTTTTTTATGTCCTGTATTTTAACACATTAAACCTGGCATTCTTGGTAGCATAAAGCAAGGCTTTAATATTATTGTACAGCATTTTACTGAGCTGCCTATTAGCAAAGGCAACTCAAGTTCTATGTGGGAGCACCCGTAACAGACACATCCATGACATTCACTCAGTAGCAAAACTGTTTTGACGAGCACATTTCCCGACCTTCTCCAAAGTATGCAAAATGTCAGCTCTCTTACACACATCTCTGAACATCCAACTTTCCAGGAATTTGCCAAGTTTCTCACACAGGCTAATAAACACCTTTGTGGGGTGCATCTCATTCTCATTTGGACCAGTCATCTATTACCAGCTTTTGCCAATTAGGCGGTTTGCAAGGCTAAAAGAACAAAAACCAAACACAACCAACCTCCTCCCTCAAAACAACTGATGCAGAGCTTGACTTGCTCTGTATTCGACATACACACACTTGGGTTTTTTTGAATAACCACTTTAATGTGGGAATAATGTTTATTCAGATCTGTTTTAAGATGCTGTTTTGTTAAAGCGTATTTGTAATTGCAAGGCTGTAAACAAATTAGAGGCTTTCTCGTTCCTAAAATCCAGTCTTACTGTGGTGAAGCTGGCAGTAATAACTGTAATTTATTTTAGCAAACAGCACGTTCTGACTGGGCTAGAAAACAAAGCCTATTTGCTCTTAAAAATAACTGCCTTTGAACTACCTCTCCCCTGCTTAAGAGTTCTGATTGAATCTCCTTTTTCCCACAGCACTGGTTCAAGCTGCAGGAGAGATCTCACAGCAACAAGAGCCACAGCCACCATCCCTGCTCCTGTGAGGCACCCCTCTTCCTGGTCCTGCTCCTTTCCCAGGGTGACACTTGCTGTGCCCACACTGGAAATGAGCAGGGCCACTTAATTATGCATGTTTGCAGCTCAACTTCACTGTCTCACAAACATACAGACTTGAGAAAATAGGAAAGTAGAAAATTCAGTTCAGGTTGTTTAAGTTACAGCTTGATTTGAGGGACAACCAGAATCTCTCCGTTTCCTCAGAATCCTGGATTCCATTAAGAAGAATCTCATTTGTCAGCTCTAAAGCACAATAACTACACACACATTAATAAAGTTTTGAGCTTGTGTTTGGGGATTTTTTTGTCACTGTGGAATCCAAGTTTGATTTATTCTGAACACCCATTGCTTTCTTTTATGCAGCAATCTTCCCCATTCATATTATCTGAGGGAACTTGGCTGAAAGCCCTTTCTAGATTAGCTGCACTCTTTTATTTAAACTTACTTCTGAAATGTTTAGCATTTTTTCAGCTAAGTCACCTCACACAAGTCAAATTATCATTACTCCTTTTTGTTGTCAAGGAGCAGTAAAAAGTCACAGCCTCCTTGCTGCGACCCTTGCACTGCTGTGTGCTGCTGCACAGGGAGAGGACCCTTCACCCCAGGGACCTGGCAGGGCTTGCTGGGCTCAAGAGGTGACCAGCTAGGCAGGCTCTGCTGAAAATCAGGGCTTGCTCAGCCCAGGTCTTGGGCAACTCCAGAGCACCGAAGCCAGCCAGGCAGGCTGATAAACTTGATAGAGCAGGACAGAAACTGCTCTGCAGAGCAGTCTAAGAAGGAAAGATGGGCAAGACAGACCAGAAGGAAGGCACCAGGCCTAGGAGAACTAAAGAATGGACAGGTGGGCGGGTACAAGAGAAGTGAATGCAAGCTGTGGGGAGGCAACATCTTTAGCCAAGCTCAAGAGAGTGGAAAAGCCTAGAAAAGCAACAGTGGATTGCTATGAAGGACAAAGGGAAAGATGAAAGAGAAGCAATATTTAGAGGAAAGCAAATAAGGAGTTGCACAGGAGGGGAGTGGCTAAAGTGAGAAGGGATGAATGCAGAAGGAGAGACACAGAAGTGGAAGAAAAAATAGATACAAGTGAAAGATGCAATGAGATAAGGGTGTCGTGCATTGGATTAGACAAATATAAGGAAAAACTGAAGAAAGGCAGAGTTAAAGCTAAATGGAACCTACAGGAAAACTGTAGCTGTACACATTTTTGTAAGATATTTTTGGTTTTCCGGCAATCCAGGCCTGACACATGCATGCTGTTCTAGTACAGAACACTAGATACACCCTGGACACTTACTGAGGTTAGCATTAGGTTTTCCAAAGGAAAAAAATTAATAAAATCAAATATTCAGAAAACTGCTGCTGACACTATCACACTTTCACTAAATCACCTTGTCCTACCAAGCCCACTCCTCCCTGGCCCTATTAGCAAAACCAGTTATCCACTGGGAATTTGCCCAACTACAGATCTCAGGATAAGCTGCTATAAATAACGTAACTAGTCACTTTTTAATTCCAAAGACAGTTGTAAAAAAGGCATTATACCTCCAACAAGCCCATTTTCCTTCGTCGTCTCCATTTTAACAGTGGATTGATTAGATGCCTTCATCTTTGAGGTATTAATGGATTCCAGGAGGGACACAAATTCTAGAAAGTTAGACTCATTAGGCACTTGTCCTTCTTTAGCTTCTAGATCTGACTTAGAAGTTGGTAAGGTTTTTTCTTTGTCAGATACCTCCATGAAATTCTTACTCAAAAGCACATCCGTTCCGCTGTCTACGCTTAGCACTCGCATGTGCCTCTTTTCATGAGCAGTTCTACAGGACTGCGGGTCTAGGTTCTGCAGGTCTTCCTTAGAAGTTAAATCCACAGTCTGGACATTTTCAGAAGCATTCTCCCGACTTGGATCTGAGCAAGTGTTAGTTTCTAAAGGACTATTTGCTGGATTGCTATGTTCCTTTACTGCATCACCCGATTCATAGCCAGAGCATTGGTTGGACAACAGGTCTGCCTTTAAAGCTTGTGGAGTTCTTTCACTTTCACTAACTTCTGGGAAAGCCTTACCTTTACTGTCATCAGACAGGTCAAAAGTGATAACAGGGATTCTGAGCTGTTCATTAGTTTGCTGACTTGGCCAACCTGCCGTAACTATACCAGACTCAGGGGCTAAGCTCGTTCTCTCAGTTCCCAGAGCCTTTAGGTGGACACAGCCTGACAGGTCTCTGAGGGTGGTGTTTGGTGTAGTGCTCATTGTGATGACAATTTTAATGGGCTCACACAGCTGGTCTCCAGGAAGAGAGTTGTCCACAACTGCGACAGCAGTCTCATTGTCTGAGCAATCAAGGTCCTCATGGATATTACTGCCATTCCAAGAACTTTCCATGTGCTCGAGATCTTTGGTTGCAATGGCATTGCACTGTGGGCAGTAACTGGTAAAGCCTGACTGTGGTGATACATCAGGCAGTTTCTCTCTTTTATAGCTTTTAGGATTACTCAAATGGTCTGAAATAACTGAATTTTCACTGTCCCATGGCTCTGAAGAAACTCCAGTCCTCAAAATATCACCTTGCGATGAAGAAATATTGGAGAAGTTTTTAGCTACCTCCCTGTCCACAATAATATCTTGGGATCCATGCTGTCCGTCTCCTGCTTCTTCATGTATTCCATTACCAGAAAGTATTTTCATAGCAGCTGGTTTTGTCGCTACTGGTGATGTGGTGGCACCTGAAGCAGAGGCTGTAGAAACAGGTAATATATCTGTTTTGACACAGGGTGAGGTAGATGAAACTGGTTGTGCTGCCTGATCTTCTAATACTGTAACACCTAATAAAAAAATATATGGGGGTTAGGTCTCACAAACATGAACACTGTGCATTACTGAAGTGCAATCTTTAGCTAGCAAAATCTGACACAGAGCAGAGCAAAGGAATCACAGATGATGTAGATGATTAAAACAGCACCTAAGCAAGCATCTTTTTTGTTAGCTACACAACATAATACATTGTGTAGCTATATAATATGTATGACAAATTATAATAGCAAGCTGGAATCCTTCCATCTCAGGACAGGTATAGCAGCATATCTATTTAATTTAAATAATCAAAATAGCTCAAGAAACAGCTAATATTAAAACAAAAATGTTTTACAGAATTATCCCCATTTAGAGATAGATGAAAGAAAAAGCCAGTTCAGCAGAAATTTGTTGCATCATTTTGTGCCATTCTTAAATGGTCCCATAGGATATGGTGATTAACCTTAATAAAAAGGAAATATATTGAAACTTCTCAAGCACTGGAACTTTAGGCAAAGCAAGATGTGCTGGATTATACACTACAGAGCTAAAGCTCAACAATCACAAGAGGAGTCTACAATAAGAAGGTATGTAAGAGCTTTAAGATGTGATCTGATCATTGGCTTCCTGGTTTAATGCTTTGCAGAGGCAAAGAGCTTCCCAAGGATGAGTGGGGAAAGCTCTCTCATCTATCTCTCTATGCCAAAATGGGGAGAGCTACTTGCATGCTCACCAAAGGGCTGCATCCCAAACAGCTTGGCTGCCAGCTAAGAAAGCTTAGTCTGTTAGAATTCTCTTGAGATTCTGTTTTCTCAAGCTTTTCTATTCAGCTATTAACAAGACGCACAATGGAACCTGCTGTGGGTCCTCTGTGTCTTCTTTTTTGTGTGTGTGTGTGTGTGTTTTTTGCAGCAAGCAATGATTAAACAAAAGTTTAAAGGGATTTATAAAGCCTTTAAGATACCTCTGAGATCTTCAATAGTTTCCCGTGTTGGCAGCTCCTAAAAATAAAAAGGAACACACAAAATTAGCACAGGCATTTATTAAATTATGTTGGAAAACACATCTATCAAAGCAATAGCTACCTAATCAAAGGTTAATTACAGAATTGGTAAGTTGCTTAACATCACAGAAATTTGGACCTGTACCTTGCATTAAATGCAAGGGGTGGGTGAGAGAGATGGTTGTAGAACAGTCATACTCCAAATTGCATCACTGCAATTGTGTGTGATGCTTGGGGAGGGGGGAAACAAGATTTTTTTATAAAAAACATTTTGCACTGCCTAATCCAGGTTTTTTTTTCTGTTTTCAATCATTAAGGAATGCAATGTTCTGTTCCATGTTTCCACCTATGTGTTTCCAAAAGACTAAAATGCAGTTTGGTCTCCAGTAATTGGTAACGATTTCTCAGTGGAAAACTACAGGACAGACCCATTAGATTAACTTAGAATCATTTATATTGCAAGGAAGCTTTTGAGTTCATTTAGTACATATCCCCTCTGCCATACACACACACTCAAAGCAGGTACAGTTAGAGCAGGTTGCTCAGGCCATCTCCAGCAGAGATTTGAATATCTCCAAAGATGGAGATTTCACAGCCTCTCTGGGCAATCTCTTCCAGTATTTGACCACCCTCTTGGTAGGGAAAAAAAAAACAAAACCAAAACCCAACCACGCACAAAAAATATTAAATCTAATTAATCTAATTGGAGCTTTCACACCTGCAAGTTGCAGCCACTGCATTTTATTCTGTCACTGGGCACCTCTGAGAGTGCTCAGTCTTCTCTGCATCTTACCATTATGAAGCTCTTTTAGCCTTAATAAAGGGTTCAGCCTTATAAAGGCTAAAACATCCCATCTGCCTGTCCTAAAACATCATGTACCTCACTCCCCAATGACCCTGATGGCCTCTGCTGAATTCTCATCAGCAAGTCAATGCCTGTGGGAACTCACTGGGGAGCTCAAAACTAGCACAATACTCAGAGAAATACTTTGGGAATCTAAAATCAAAAGCATAAGTGGGTAACTAGAAAAAAAGTTCTTGGGAAAAGTTAATGTGGCTCTTTTCTGGCTTACAGGCACCAAAACCAAGAGGAAATAATAATTATATCCTAAAATTTCATGGTGCTATTCTGGCAGCAAGAACAGGACTAGGTTTGACAAGACTCAGTCTACATGTTTGGAATCCCAAGAAGAAATGCGTTTGCAGAATGGACAAATACCAGAATACTAGGGAATCGGACAGGAAAAAAAGGTAAAAAATAATTCACTTCATAAAAGAAAACAACTAATAAAATAAAATTATCAATGTCTGTGAATCATACAGATGCTACAAAAAGGTAAAAACACTCTGGGAAATGAGGACATAGTTCTGATTCAGAACAGGAGATCATTAGTTTGCAGTAAATAGGGACACAGGATGGGGGTGGAGGGATATGAAGACAGAATGAAGTATCAAGTTGCTACTTATTCAGAGATCACTAACCATCCTTTGCACTGACTGAGGCAGGAGTCCTGTAGAAAAAAATAGCATGGGATCACATAATTAAAGATTTTATCACAGTATACATGGGGAGTAATTTAAGATTACACAGACAGCTTTATCCTGTTTCTTAATTTTTGAATACCTAAATTTTTCAGCCTTCTCAGTGTTCCTTCCTATTTTTCCTTTAATAACATCTACATACATCCCTTTCATCACCTCGTATACTATTAATTTAGAAAACATTGCCAATGGCATGGAATGCACATACATGTATTTTGAACCTCTGGTAGACTAGATTTAACTAAAGAGGGTTTATGCTTTGTTTAAATACTCAAGAGATGTTAGGTTAATTTTATAAGCATAAGTCCAGTTACACAAAACCAAACTATTAATGCTCCAGGAGCAGATCCTTTCTGAGGCAATGACAGGTTACTCTGATTCTATTAGCCTCTCCTTTCTCTCAAAGCAGCCATGAAAACTAGTTGTTCTTGCCAAGATTTAGTAAAACCACTTGGTATCTGCAGAGCAGACAGACCTGTCTTAAGAAGTTCAGAATTACATATACCAGTTTCAGGTTTGTAAACCCAAACCTTCAGGCCAAGGCTGACTGACAGCAGTGATATACACAGTGGGACCCACAGAATAACCCTTCCTCCTCAAGGCAGACCTACACTTCAAGTGACCAGTACTTGGCAATACAGAACTCTGTGTGGTAAGGTGGAGCAAGCAGATAAGCAGGACTGCACGAAATGAGGACACTATTACAGAAAACTGCACACTAACCATTGCTCCAGGTGAGTTCTCCAAGTCCACAGCCTGTACCCTTGAACTATCATGAATTGTTTGGGTAGAGTCATCTTGGTTGGTCTCACTGATGACACCATTATCCCTGCTGTTATTGCTGGAAAGGAAGCAAATGAAAAATAACGCAGTGCTTTTTACCACAGAGGATCACAGTGTCTTTGGAAAGAAGCTGAGGAATAGTAACAGAATAGAAAAAAAGTAAACACAGCACAGTGAAGTGACAGCATGTTTTTCCCCCTCCAATGCTAAAAGCACAAGGGTGAAAAATATTGTAGCCCCTTTTTGCATCTCCTTCCTCACCAAGATAATCTGATAAAACTAAATTAAAAAAAAAAATCCCTCAATATAAAATATCTCTGGGGTCTTAGGAAGTAGAATATTGCTATAAAAAATACAATGTCATCTCTTCAACCCCCTGATGTGTACATAATTTCATTTACCTTGCTTGAATTTGGGCTTTTTAGTTTGTGAGGTTGTTTTTTCCCCAAACACTTATTTTTAAAACCCTGCAGCTATATATAAGCTATAAAATTATTTACCTGAAGGTATCACCTTTCCACAATTTTATTATGGTTAGATGGCTTCAAAAAAACGTGCTCAACCTCCCAACTACCAGGGCCTGTTTAAAAACTTCTGGCATCCATACTAAGTTCATTATTTTCTGATCAGGTACTAAATAATGTACCGTTATGCCTAGGACCTTCTAGAAGGAATAGTTACGTGATTTAACAGCAAGCTTTTAAGCCAAAATAAAGGCAGCGTAATGAAAGTTTGCATTCATTTCTCTAGCCAGTGAACAGGGAAACACTGAAGTTCTTGTTTAAATTTGAGCCAGCCTAGAACAACTGATGAGCCTCTTAAATAGCTATATCCGACATAGGAAATAGCATTGTGGACTGGTGAGAGCTAAAGAGGACTAGAACCTGAAATCCATCAGCCAATCCAAAATAAAAACCTTTTATGGTTAGTGACACACATAAGAGGCATTTCTGAAGAGTCATGATGCAAGTAGACCTTGCCACACCTAGCAATGTCACTACGAACATGCATGTGTAGAGACACAGAAGCACAGTAGGTATACAAACAACCTTAATACTACTTAGCTTGCACAGACTAGCAGTAGCAACTGTGAATGCACCAAAAAATACCTGAAACTCTCGTGTGTAGGGCTCTCTGATGAAGCCTGACTGGTAGTTGTAACAAGCCAATTTAGTTTAAGCTTTGTTTGGGCTTTTCTACGCTGCCATCACTATTAGATGTACCTATTTCAGCATTTTTCACATCTCTCATAACACCCAGGAACACTGGAAGCTACTTGGCAGCTTCATTTGTTTGTATGACTCAAGGTTGAAAAACCAGCAAGAGAGGTCTCCATTTATACCAAAAAGCGTACCAAACATTCTACCTATACACAAATCTGGCAAATGTCAGCACTAGCCCTTAGCCCAATGCTATTTTTATCTTTAACAGCATCTCAACCTGGAAGCAGCCTTATTGACTTTGACTATTTGCAGCAAAGACACAGTATTTGAATCGTTAGCTGAGGGGCTGCAAATACTACCAAACGCTCCTGAGAAATAAATATGGTTCTAGCTTTCTTCAAGAACAGGACCATAAAAATATCATAGGCAGTCACAATAAAACATAAAGGGGGAAAAGTGACTTACATATCTAGATTTGACCTGAGAAGGAAGTTACTGTAAGCACACAAAGGCAACATGCACTCAGACTTCCAGAGCTGTGATATTAGAGCATTTTCTTTGCCAATGGGTACATGCTACTTCCTCTCCTCCACTCTTCCCAGCAGATAAGCACAGTATGAAGAGGAAAGATCAAGCATTTAAGGCTTCCCCAGAAAACCTGGGGGAAGTTTTCTCCAGGATCTTTTAGCACTTCCCAGATGGGTCTCTGCCTTCATTATGCCCAGCTGCTGCCCCACCCTCTGAACCAGGTGCAGCTCTGCCTGCTTCTCCACAAGCATGCTGCAGTCACAAGATCTGAAAATGCTAAGCAGGTTTTCAGGAGTGCCATTCCTCACACAACAGTAAGGAGTCTTCCTACAGCCAACAGGCATTTCTGCTGAGCAGTACCACAGAGCAAACTCATCCATTTTACAGAATATACCAGCAATGTGCAATGAAAACATTACCTATGATCTGAGGAGTGAGCTGTGTTTCTGTTTGGAATTTCTGTATCTTTATGTTGCCGTCCATCTTTTCTTGATAGCTTTTGTTGAATTACTTCACCTTTATCAAACATCAGGTGTAGACGGTAACTGATCACCTTTATCACTGTGAAGAACACCGTCACCAAGCTGCAGTATGCAAACACCGTAACTGAGTTTGCTGGAAAAGCCTACAGAAAGAAATAATAAAGAGACAATCATAACAGTTCATTTTGAGAAGATGCCACTAAGTTTTTAAAAAGTAATTATTCCTTATTGTCTAATAGCTGTATCTCTATTGAGTTTTACAACAAGAAGCAGTGCATTCTCATACAGAATAGTTGAGGTCTGCTCACTAAAAAGGTCTTTTCAAATTTCAAACCACAAGTTTTATTCTTCTTTTGATTAGCTGTGGAGATCACTTATTTCCTAACAAAGTCATTCCAATCTCACAACGGACAAACATTATAAAACCTCTTAAAATACTGCATTCCGAGGATAACGCAGCTGCAGCCTTTCCTGAATGAGTAACTGATAAAAATGCAGACACAAAATGAAACATTATGAACAGGAAACTAATTTTGAAAAATTCTACCATCTGATCCTGCTTCTCAGTTATGATTTACCAGTAAAAGGCTGTAATTTGATCTCCTTTTTTTAACACCTCAAAACATGTTCCCAAGTATCTTTACCACTGAGGAATTTTAAATAATTAATCAGGACTAGTCAAAACAAACGAATAAAATGCATTTGGAGAGTCAGACTCTTTGAACTCTTTTCATAAAGTCCACTGCTGTTAATTTGCAGCTGTCTTTGATCTGTTTGTTGATCTGTGATGAGCACCATATTTCTTAGTCATTAAGATTAATTACAGTTCAACTATAGTCTGTAAAGTTCTTTCACAGACATGACATACTAACAACATTTTTGTATGCAAATACTTCCTTCCAGTACAGGGCAAATCATAGCAACAGACATTTGGTAGTTACAACTGAAGGCCCAAGCCTTTATCATTATACATACAGAACACCCTTACGTATTGTGGTCATGCAGTTGTAGTCTCACAATGAGTTTAATCTCTCCTCAGGTTTTTGGTTTTTTAAACAGACCATTATTATATTCCTGCACAATTTGTAGTGCAGGTGGAAGGGAGAAGAAGAAAGATTTTCAATGCTGAGGATTTCCTAAAGCCTACTGAAGCAAGAATGGTCTTTACTTTGGGCCTAAATGTATCATTTTAAGTATCAGCACTTCAAGTAAAGGAGCATTTGAATGTAAAAGATTAGAATTCTTTTCAGGTTCATAAATAAACCACACTGACCACACAGGTGAAAGGAAGGGAAGGAGGCACACTTACTTCATCTCTGAAACAAGTCACTGCATTTATCTTGATGTTGAAATGAGTGTGTTGAATCATTTCTGTGTTATTACAAGCAAGTGGATTGCTATTCTGCTGCTGCTTTTGGCTTAGTGAGACTTCATACCTTCACGATGCATATGTGAAAGTTTTCAAGTAAATCCTTTTTTATGACTATTCTGATTCATATGCAAAGAATCTATTGCACAAAAGTGGAGAAGCTATTTAGCGTGTAGGTACTACTAACAATCCTTAATAAGACAGACATTACTTTCTACAAGTTGAGGCTTAGTTTTTTAAGAGTAGTTCCTGGTACTATGTATATACCTACACTAAGCATACCCTTCAGTTATTTAGCAAATCTGGGCCAGAAAATATCAGTTTGCAAGGCACCATGCTCTCAGGGTATACGGTTTGGAGGATGAGGGTGAAGAATTTGTGGTTTATGACTAATGTGTTTACAAAACATAAGTTTAAAATGGCTTGTTTCACAAAGAATGATAGCCCATTATCTATAATGAGTTGTTCAAATGAGAGATTTGTTTACTTTCCAATCTCATTAACTACACACTAAAAAGCACAGGCCAAGCACTCATTATTAAATAACAACTCAGAATGAGCCACTACAAAATAAGTGCTCTATAGGTGACATTCACAAAGCTTAATAAATATTATATGAATAATGTCAAGAGGGCACAACAAAAATAGACTTCCAGTACTGCAGTCTAAGCATGCATACAGCTCACTATAAGAGAGAACCAAAGGAAGCTGCTAGATTTCTAAGTGGAAAAGGGGGCCAGTTTAAGCAACCACTGAGTGCCGCATGTCTTCATCCCTGACTTGTGACTGGATCTGTTGGAGAGCTGGGCCCTCAGCCTGCCCTTGGTTTCCCTGCCCACGTGCCAAGGGTACATAGCACTGCCCACCATGTACATGTTGTGTAGGCTCACAATCCCAAGCTTGCCTATGTATAAGGCAGCCAATGAATCCTTAATATTCGGAATCTTGGGACAAGCTAAGTAGTACAAGCCAGCAGGTTGGTCCCTGCCCACACGAGTAATTAGGAGAAAGATGAAGCCAAGAATGGAAAGTCCTCAATTTTCCAAATCAGGCCTCCTGCATAAGGATGTAAGTGTCAGATGACTGCAGTTGGTGTTCCCAGGTATGTATAGGTGAAAGCTATCAAATCTGCTTGAGCTAAGGAGGAATTAAGTTATAGACCACTAAGGAATTGTATGATACATTCACTTTTGATGCACTATAGTTATAATTAGCCCGGTTTCCTATGGAAACGAGGTTTTATAATCACACCATGTGCCTGTGTACTCGTGATGTCTTTCCATTCCCTCTAATGAATAACTTTGTAATAATTCAGCTACTTTCAGCTAACTTTGAGAGAATACACTCCACTGGGATAAGATCATAGCAGCACACCTCATGTGTTAACAAGAGGAACCCATTCAGCCCTCTGACCTTTTGAATGCCACCCCAGTGAAACAAAAATCTTCAGCTGAGCTGACATCTTACTAGAAGCTACAAAAAAAACATCCACAAATTCACTGGAAGTAAGATTCATGACATCCCACCACAGGTTTCTGTGGAAGCTGAGCTCCAGCTTTCTTTGGTCTTGCCCGATTAAAAACTCTACCATAACATCCTTTGTTTCCCAATAACTTCTGTTATACCACCTACCAGAACAGCATGGGGTCCCAGGGAAAAATGCAGGCTGGTGCGTTCCAAATGTGCCCTTACTATCGGAAATGCAGAGAGAGTTGACTTACCCATAGGAAGGGGCTTGTGCCAGCCCAGAGATTGCTCCCAGAGGAATGTCTAAATTCTTCTTCACATATCTACTAACATTATTTGAGTATCACAAAGGCAGAGGAGACTGAGGCATATACTTGCTAATATAAAGGTGTGTAACTGTTAAACAAAATACCACACCCCTTGTAAACTGGACAGAATTATTAAAGTCACTTAGACCCACATGTATCCCACCTGATGCTTAAGCATCTGAGGCATCTAAAGCAAGACAGTGCTGCATCTGGGCATCACTGCCTTCTTGTGATACAGAAAACAAACGAGGGAACTTCCAGATAAATATTCAGTTACTACCATAAAGCTTGCAAACGTATCAGGGAGATTCAGTATTACAGCCAAAGAGAAGTTTTTTTGTTTTAAACTTGGCTGAATTGATAACCAAGAGATGTCCATCACACACCATGGGAAAACAGGTAGCAAACAAAAATCCAGAGGTGTCCACTCAGTTAAAAACGTGCATCCTACTACTCAATAAATACAGTAAGTAGAGTGTAGCTTACCTCTCCCTTGTAGAGGTATATGTATCCCTACTTTTACAAAGGGTTAAAGTTGGGTAAATCATGGCCAAATGGGACACACTGCAAGTTTTATTGCAGTCTACCTCCAAGTTATTTATGTGCCCACACCCTTATACTGCCAGGCTGTGCTTCTCCTATCACAGCATGACTTGAAGATCTAATACATAAGAACTAACAACCCTGTAAGTTCAAGGGCTTCCTGTCTAACAAAAGGCAGAAGAAATGCTCACTAAGCTGTTCTGGGGACTCACTGAAATGTGGACATGTATTCTCTTGTGGCTTGTAAAATAAGCTAGAGTACAAGCATTCCCAAAGTGGCATGTCTGCATCACTAGTGTATCACTGGGGCTGAATTCAGCCCAGCAGATTTATATAATAATTACCATTCTTTTCATGCACAAAATTACCATTCTTTTCATGCAAAAAAAATTCTCCTGGAAGGCATGCTAAGGCACATGAAAAACAACAAGGTGCTTGGTGACATCCAGCAGGGCTTCACTAAGGGGAAATCCTGCCTGACCAATTTGGTGGCCTTCTATGATGGGGCTACGGAACTGACGGACAGGGGTAGGGCAGATGATGTCATCTACCTGGACTTGTGCAAAGCATTCGATATTGTCCCACATGACATCCTTGTCTCTAAATTGGAGAGACATCAGCTTGATAGGTGGACCACTCAGTGGATAAAGAACTGGCTGGATGGCCACACACAAAGGGTTGTGGTCAATGGCTCAATGTCCGGCTGGAGACCAGTAACGAGTGGTGTCCCTCAGGGATCGGTGTTGGGACTGGTCTTGTTCAACATCTTTGTCTCTGACATGGACAATGGGATTGAGTGCGCCCTCAGCAAGTTTGCCGATGACACCAAGCTGTGTGGTTCGGTTGATACACTGGAAAGAAGGAATGCCATCCAGAGGGACCTTGACACGCTTGTGAGGTGGGCTGATGCCAACCTCATGAAGTTTAACCATGACAAGTGGAAGGTCCTATACCTGGGTCAGGGCAATCCCAGGCACAGCTACAGGTAGGGCAGAGAAGAGATTCAGAGCAGCCCTGCGGAGAAGGACTTGGGGGTGTTGGTCTATGAGAAAATGAACATGAGCCGGCTTCAGTGTGCACTCGCAGCCCAGAAAGCCAACCATATCCTGGGCTGCATCAAAAGGAGTGTGACCAGCAGGTCGAAGGAGGTGATCCTGCCTCTCTACTCTGCTCTCATGAGACCTCACTTGGAGTATTGTGTGCAGTTCTGGTGTCCTCAACATAAAAAGGACATGGAACTGTTGGAACAAGTCCAGAGGAGGGCCATGAGGATGATCAGGGGACTGGAGCACCTCCCATATGAAGACAGGCTGAGAAAGATTGGGGCTGTTCAGCCTGGAGAAGAGAAGGCTGTGTGGAGACCTCATAGCAGCCTTCCAGTATCTGAAGGGGGGCTATAGGGATGCTGGGGATGGACTCCTCATTAGGGACTGTATTGATAGGACAAGGGGTAATGGTTTAAAACTAAATGGGAAGTTTAGATTGGATATAAGGAAGAAATTCTTTACTGTAAGGGTGGTGAGGCACTGGAATGGGTTGTCCAGGGAGGTTGTGAATGCTCCATCCCTGGCAGTGTTCAAGGCCAGGTTGGACAAAGCCTTGGGTGGCATGGTTTAGTGTGGGGTGTCCCTCCCCATGGCAGGGGGTTTGGAACTAGATGATCTTAAGGTCCTTTCCAACCGTAACTATTCTATGATTCTGAAACACTTGGGAACCCTAGACTGTTTGGTGGAATAAGATATTTAATTCTTAATCTCTTATGAGAATTGACATGGCAAATTTAGAAAAGATCTCACTACAATTTTGAAAGTTGATTTTAACAGTGGTGATGCTCCAAGTAATATCCCATTTATATTTTAAATCATATATTTAGTACTACAAAGGATAAATGAGGAGGAAAGGGAAGAGGTGAAAACAGATCTGTATTTTCAGGGGTGGGTAAGCTAATAAAGGAACCATTAGTACCAAAGCAAGCTGTGCTGACAAAGCTAGAGAATGAAATCCTCAATCCATACAACAGAAACAAGTTGATACTGTAAGCTTCCCCACGCTACTGTCAGCACATCTCTGCTGAGCCAGTGTGAAAAATCTAAAAACAGCTGGATCAGTTTTGCCATTTCATTCAAATCAAACTGTTTCAGAGAATTTCTTTGACTGTAGTGTGATTAAGATTATCCCAAGCAAATGAAAATCTTAAAGATTTTTTTTTAAACTCTAATTTGTTCTGACTTGCCATTTCAAGAAATGTCAGTGACTGCTTTAGTCACTTTAGTCACTGAATCCAAAACTATTGGTGTCAAGTGGGTAACATAAGTATCACCCAACCATTACTGAATATTATAAATAAAATTCCCCAAAGAAAACAGTCAGTTAAAAAGCAGGTTCAAGTTTCTAAGTGGCAAGAACATACATCTTGCAAAAAGTTTACAAAGCCCAACCACTTAAAAGCAAGAAAACAAATACTTAAGGACATCATTCCTTTCAAGCAGCAGTGTAATAATGCATTATTCTTCTCAAGAATAAAGAATTCCCAGAGCAGTACATTAGGCTCAAGAACAGAAGTCCTGCATTTAACCAAATGATTTGTCAGAAATTCAGCCACCCTGCAGAAAAGGCAAGTCCATCTAGACAGGCAAAGATGGAGCCTGAGAGAGTGCTGTAGATAAGTTAGGTTTCCTCCATTTCCCTTTAAATAATGTCCTTCTGTTTTTCACCTTAGCTCTGACCTACAGTCTTTGTACCCAGTGTTCCTTTGCGGAAACCTGCATGCCTCCTTCATGCTATTAGTTCAGAAGTTTCCCACAAGGAAATACATATTCTTCCAGTTACATACTTACATCAGTGGCGGGGTGGGAGGGGGACGAGAAGTTAACTTTTACCCTTTATTTTTTTATTTATCTTTTATCACACATACCACTGTGACAATGAAACCTACAATGCAAGATTCTTGCTGGTTTGCGCAGGAAATAGACCCTATCCATCACAAGAAAGCATATTGTTACCTGGGTTCATTAACTTCACGAGTCATGCTCACAGGAATTCACTGCAATCCATGCCACAAAATACAGTATGCCAGTTGATTTATTAAAAATACAAGACTTGCTTTTCACTGGGATTGCAGAGAGATACATGAGCACTCTTTGATTTTGAAAATCAAGCCAATATCTGGCCATGTAGGGCGAAGAAACCTATTTGAAACTCTATCCAAACAAGAAAAATTCGACAGAACTTAGTTAAGAATTTAGTTGAGTCACTGTGACAAGTAAAGGCATTGAAAATGGAAATTGTTTCCAACATTAGCAATATTAAGCTACTGAAACCCACACCAATAAATAGATGCAATGATCTAGCAAATGATACTTTTAAGCTTTTCTTACACAGTAGGAGAGTTCACAGAAATAGAGCAAAAGTTTCAAATTTTCAAGGATAATAATTTCCAAGTCTATCAAACAACCTCTAGTTGATGAGGTTATTTATTTGCAATGTTTAAATTTCAGCACAAATGGAGCTGCATGTCACAAAAAAAACCATGTGACTCACCAATGACATTCATCCAGGCATATTAATTACACTGTATTTGGATTTTTCCATTTATTTACCCTTCTTAGGAGGTTAAGACTGGAGCAGATTTGAAAATAAAACGTCTCTAAAAGGGATTTTTTTTCTAACGAACGTCCCGGCAGTTATTCAGCACCGGCAGTGACCAGCACTGCACCTCTTCCCAAGTTACCTTTCCCAACCGCTTCAGCTGGGGAAGAGGTCCAGCCCCGACCTATGCGCCCACCCCATCCACCTTCAGACACAAGTCCTCACGTACAGCCCGGCATGCCTCGTCTTTAACCCCCCTGGGGTCTGTTTATTCCCTGTCGCACTCCCGCACTCGCAGCTCCCGCGTCAGGGCCGCGGTCCGCTGCGCCCTCCCCGCTCCCCTCCCTCCTCGCCTTCCCCGCCGCGCCGCGGGCCGGCTCTCACCAGGTGCATGGCCATGGGCAGCGTCAGCAGGAAGAGCCACAGATAGAGGTGGCAGCTGTTGGTGAAGGCGCCCTGCTCCGGGTCGTGGTACCAGCCCCCGGTCAGCGCCGCCCACACGCCCTGCCCCACCAGCCGCGCCGCCGGCGACACCATGGCCGTTCCCCGCCGCCGCCGCCACCGCCGCCGCCCCTCAGCCGCCCTCCGCCGCCGCCATGCCGGGCGCCCGCGGATTCTCCCATGGTGCCCTGCGACGCCGAGCATCCCGCCCGGCCCGGCCCGGCCCGCCCCACCCCGAGCGCCGCCGCTACCGCTGCCACAGGCCGCCCTCCCCCGGGCACGACGCCTCTCTCGACCCCGCAGAGGTGCGGGAGCGCTGCTCCACTGCCGGGCCTGGGGACCGCGTCCGGGTGCCGGTAGCGGGCGGCTACGCACGGAGGCCGCAGGGCGGAGAGAAGCAGTGCTGAGACGCTGCGGAGGTGGGGGGCAGTTCTGGCGCGGCGGCGTCCGTCACCGCGGTGTCCCGCCCGGCTGGTTCACAGGTGCAAAAAAACGAGCGGTGAAGAAGCAGCAACGGCGTCAATGGCTGGGCTGCGCTCTTCAGCGGTCACACTGCCCCAGCCGCTTTGCTTTTATTGCTAGCTGTTAATTCAGCCTGGTGCATCACGGGCTTCCGAGCTTGAGCTCTGACCGGCGCTGGTGACGATCTTTTATGTTGGTTTGAGCTGTACTTTGGGCACGCAGGTGTGAAAAGTCCCTAAAAGCCATTCGTTTTCTTTCAAGAATGAGTTTAGGATAAAACAGTGTGCTTTGTGCTAAGGGATTTCATGGCAGCTGGCAGCAAATTCACAGAGCAAAGGGACATGTCAGTATGTGAAGCAGTGGGGAGTGTAGCTAGAAGATAGATAGGGCCAAGGACAAGCTTTGAGCAGGATAGGCCAAAGGCAGTGAAAGATGTGGCATAAAGATACAGGGCATATCCCTGTGGGACACTCCTGAAGGATGAGGTGTAAGGATGGGCCATGAATGCCAGAGCTGATTCCACACAGCACTCCCCCCTCTCACCCTCTACCCTCAGAAAATAGTTGTAAACTTCAATTATACATCTCTCATCAACCCCTTCGAGGGACTTGCAACATGTACAGACTTTCATTGCCATCAGTCTTGAAAAGGATGCATATAGAAAATGGAGGCAGCCAAGAAGCTTGAACATCACTTCACCAGATCTACCCTTCTTCTGTTGTTCCTGACTATGGCTAGTTCCATGGGTTCCATGCTATTCCGGCATGCTTTGCATGGATTTTTTAGACAACAGCAGGAGACCAAAGATGCTATTAAACAACCATACCTGGGAGCTAATTAAATGCTTCTCAGCTCACTTCCTGCTATTGCAGGCATTGTGGTCATGCTGTATGCTTCTGTTGGCTTAATGGGAGGGATTACACAGCAGGATGGACAAGTAGCTGGGTGAGGGGAGAAAGAGCACCGCCTCCTTCAGCGGTGCAGGCACCCTCCAAATTCTGTGGACCTACAGCCACAGGGCCTGACAAACACTGCTCAGTGCAACCTTGGTAAGCAGCGAGCTGTCTTAATGTGTATGAAGGAGGTGCAGTCCCAGCAGTGCCTCACTACCTGCTCCTGTAAACACACCTCATCCAATCCTCCCCATTGTCCAGTGGAAATTAGAAAGTTTGTTGCTGCAAATGTGATCACTGAGTCAAGTGCAATAGCAAGAGCAAAATGATATTTTTCTATGTGCAGGGATTAAAAATGTTAATTTTTAGAAACTACTGAAGCTGTTTTCCACACTGGCAAATAAGACAATTTACCTGCACAGCTCCAAAAAAGAAAGATGACTAAATAAAGGTGGAAATGGAAAGCTTCTTCAAAACCTGCTCTCTTCTGAATTTTGGCACTTCCAACAGATGTTGGTTATTATTTGGAAGCCCCAGGTAATGCAGGCTTCATTGGAGCTGACGTAACATTGCATCTTGTTAGGGTGACTTGTCTGCCCACCACTCAAATCTTTCAGCTCTTCCTCATCTCTGGATAACGTTGACAACAGAAAATATTTTGGTGTAATGGTACTTGCAGGAATGAAGGGTTCCTGTGGTTCCTGCCCCGGATACATGTACTGGGCACAGGGCAGATGCACAGCCCACTCTATACGGTTGCAGGGGTGCCAAAGATGCGGCACGTTTTCTCTCTCTCGGTGCCAGTGATGGGCAGAGCCGAAAGCTTTGCCGGCGGTGTGTTGCTCTTCCCAGCGGTGACTCCACTAGGTGGTGCCACCAGAAAAGCGATGGCCCTCCACGGGGTTGCCCGTGACGCGGTTTCCATCATTACAACTCCTAGGAGCCGCAATTACACCCAGATCCGAGCGTGCTGGATGCTGAAGAAACACTGAACCAAGAAGAACCCGAGTGCAGCAGCTGCTAGTAAACAGTAGCACTGCAGAGAGCGAATTTTGGAATAATAGTTCTAAAGAAATATTTATACTGTTCACTGTACCGCAACCAATACCTTTGCTAACCCCAAACATTCCATACTTAATTAGTTCCTGCAGATTCTTTTAGATAACAGATCAAGTTCCAGGTGGAATTTGTGTGGTAGCACGCTTGTATTACAACACACTGTATGGCTTTTATAATAAGGCAAATATGCAGATAAGGAAAAGACTTGTAATTAGCTCTCTGAATAGCTGCAAGGCAATCTCTTATATTAAAGGAAATGGGAAAAGACCGGATAGACATGCTGGTTCTGTAGTCTTTCTTTTTGGTAGCATTGTTCAGTAAGTAATTTTCTGTGTAATTTTTGCGCATGTATAACTATAAACATGGTTTAGACTGTGGGATAAACAAGAATTTATGATTTTTGATACTGTAATTCATTTTTTTAAGTTACTGTCTTTATTTTTTCAACCTTAGTCCTGTGATACACAGCTGCCAGTTTTGTATTTACATAGGGATGCACAGTGCTCTGGATGTGGGTTTTCGTGCGAGAACTCACCATTCACCACGCTGGTTTACTCTGCCAGGCAGTGTGGTTTGACACCTTCCCCATGCTTTTCCTACCCACCCATGGGCTTCCGCTGGCAGCAGTGATCAGCTCTGAGGATGAAAACCCATCTTTTTCCGCTTTGAGCCATGCTTTCTACAGCGCTGACAAGAGGAGGGTACATCCCAGCCCAGACACTTCCTCTAACCTCCAACGAAACAACTATTTGTAATTTAGCAAATGATGCATTTTTTCCACCTAAACCCAGGAAAATCTTTATCCAGAAATAGCATATACACAGCACTTGCTATTTCCAGACAACCTCTTAACGAAATAACTGTGTGGGATCATTTTAGTCTGTGTGTAGATGGGGGACCAGGCATGGGAGAGAGTCCATGAGCGGTGAAGGCGGGTGGAAGAGGAAACACGGACTGAGGAAGTGTGTTTTCTTCAGAAACTAGTGGGTTTTTTCCTAGTAAAGCCCCAAGACCGCGCAGTGAAGGAAAGGAGAAGCTGCCACTGAAGACGAGGTCCAACCCTTGACCTGCTCTGCTGCTCCCGAGGGAGAAAGCAGGCTGGGCCGGGCGCCTGAGGGCGGCCTGCACTGCGCGCCGCGGCCATCCCGGAGACCACAGTTCCCCCGACACCATCCCCGGCTCGGAGAGGGGTCACCACTGCCCCTGGCGGGGTGGGCCCGTCCCTGCCTACTATCCCCTCCCCTCCGCCGGGCGGGACGGCAGCGACCGCCTCAGCCCCGCGACCGCCGGCGCGGCGCCCCGCCCCTGCCGCGGCGCCCGGAGCCTGCCAGTCTGCGCGCGTGGGAGGGGCAGGCGCGGGCGCCCACCTGCCTACACGCCCGCGCCCTCAGTCCTGCGGCCCCACGTGACGGCCGGGGGCCAATCCCCGGGGCGGGGCAGCGCGCGGGGGCGGGAGGGAGGGCGGGGGGCACCGCCACTCCCCTCCCCGCCTTTCTGCGCCCGCGCTTGCGCCCTACCTGCCCGAGACCGGCGGCGGTGGCAGCAGCAGCGGCGGCAGCAGCAGGGGCCGGGTTGGGTGAGTCCCGCCCTTTCCCCTCCCGCGGCTCCCGCTCGGCGGCTGTGGCGGCAGGTGAGGATGCGGCTGGGCGCGCGCCCCCGCGTCGGCGGCCGCCGGGGCTGAGGTTGCTGCCATGGCTGTGCCGGGCGCTGGGGCGGCGGCCACCGCCGGCGGTGGCGGTCCGTGCCCGCTGTGGACAGCGCTGTACGACTATGAGGCGAGCGGCGAGGACGAGCTGAGCCTGCGGCGGGGGGACGTAGTGGAGGTGCTGTCGCAGGACGCGGCCGTGTCCGGCGACGACGGATGGTGGGCGGGGAAGATCCGCCACCGTCTCGGCATCTTCCCCGCCAACTACGTGACCCGGCAGCCCTGCGGCGGAGCGGCTGCGGCGGGCAGCGGCAGCGGGCAGAGGGACCCCCCGGGGAGCCTGACGGAGATCGACTTCCAGCACCTGGAGCTGCAGGAGATCATCGGGGTGGGGGGCTTCGGGAAGGTGTACCGGGCCACCTGGCGCGGCCGCGAGGTGGCCGTGAAGGCGGCGCGGCAGGACCCCGACGAGGACATCACGGCCACAGCGGAGAGCGTGCGGCAGGAGGCCAAGCTGTTCTCCATGCTGAGGCACCCCAACATCATCGCCCTGCACGGGGTCTGCCTGCGGGAGCCCAACCTCTGCCTTGTTATGGAGTTCGCCCGCGGCGGCTCCCTCAACAGGGCCCTGGCCGCCGCCGCTGCTCCCGGGGCCGGGGCTGCCCGCGGGGGCCTCCGCATCCCCCCGCACATCTTGGTGAACTGGGCGGTGCAAATTGCCCGCGGCATGCTTTACCTGCACGACCAGGCCATCGTCCCCATCCTGCACCGGGACCTCAAGTCCAGCAACAGTGAGTCCCGACCGGGGAGCGGGGTAGTGGCGTGGGAGGGAGGAGTGGCCTTCGGGCTGCCGCGGGCGACAGAGGCGACAGCGAGGCAGTGTGCGTCCCTCTGCCCGGCGAGAGACTGGTTGGGCCCGGAGGGGGCCCGGCATGACCGGCCTGCAGGGGAAGCGAGTGGCCAGGCCTGGACGGGCACGGCCCGGGAGGCTTGTTTCACTGGGAGAGGGTGTTGCAAGTTGCTTGGGCACCCTCGGCAGAGGCTTGAGCAGGCGGCAGTTTGGTTGCCGTGGCTGTGAGCTTGTTCCGGAGTTGTTACAGAAGGCAGGGAGAAGAGAGTTTACCTGTAGTGCACTCAGAAGTCTTGGTCTCTCGATAGGAGCTCATTTAAAGCGATGTGGGATAAAATCCTGTGTGCCACCACGATTGCAACACCAGAGGACTTACTCTGCTCTGATGGTTTGTGTAGTCCTAGCTTTCAAAAGTGTCTTGAAAGGGAAAGTTTTAATAAGGGCACTGCTGCTGTTTTGCTGCCAATCGTATGTATTTCTGTTTTAGATTGCATGCATTTAACATGGGTAGAATTTACCCGCTTAATGAACATCGTGGCAGAAAAGACAATAGCTTAAGAAAAGTAGAAACTCTTGTGCAGTTGTCAGATTTGTTTTCAGTTGCTGGCGTGGACAAAAGCACCTGAAAGAGTGAGGGAGTTGCTCAGTTCATGCTTTGATGAATCCTTGGTCCATATGTAGATGCAAGAGCTTCTAAGGTTTTGGCAGCTGTGATGCTGGAAGGCTGGCTTACCAGAATAGAGGTGTTTATAACTTGCTATTATAGGTGTGTTTTGAATTGGTGACCTGAAAGTGGAAATCTGTGTATTTCTGTAAATGGTTGAGGCCATCTCAACTCTCTTTCCTTGTTGTTCTGAGTTGCCAAATACCCAACAATATGTTACTCTTTTTCTAGTTAGGAGTCCTTAAGTGGTCTAGTAGAAATAAAAAAGAAAAGCTTTGTTAAAGTTTAAAGCACTTTATTTAAAAGGCCTTTGCAAGTGTGTCTTGAAGGTCATCATGCATGGACTGTTAAGACAAGGCTCATTATGGGACTGTTGCTAAGGATACTTTCACTATTTGCTTGATAAAGAAAGGACCTAGCACAGCTATGTTTGTGGTTCTGTTTTTAGCACAAGATGATGAGCTCTTGAACCTACCGTTAGGGTGATGGCCAACACCTTAATTTCTAGGAAGCTGTCTGTAGGCAGCTTGTACCCTCCTAGTTTGCTGCTGTGTTCAGTGAGGTGTTGTACCTTGAGTATTTAGTGGCTTTCCTCAGATAGTTGGTTGCTGCATGCTGGCCTTCTAAGGTGACAATGGCAAAGTTCATATCTGAAATCAATTCATAAGCCTGCCGTTTAGCGTAGCGCCTAGAGCTGAGTTGGTTACTGCTGTGAGCTGATTACCATTATTATCTGTGCATGTGGGTAATGGCAGAGCATCTTAAAAAAAATCTTCTGATTATAACCTCAGCATATGGGCTTCTTCAATGGTTTCATTGCTATCTCCTGTTGCACATGCGCTTAACTTTAGCTACTTATTTTTCTCACCCATGTCTCAACCTTGGTGAAGTTTGAAGACAGTATTGAATGCTAAATAGAATCCTGTCAGTTGTACAACTAGATGGTAGCATTGGAAGACAATGGTGTGCTAGTGGTATAACATACTATGGTAATTAAGCTCAGTAACATGCATTTAAAATTTCTGCAAATTGTGACAGTATCACTTGTTCTGTTAACTCATCAATTCATCAAAAAATTCACTTCATTCTTTTACTGTAGTCTTTCCTAGTCTTGCACAGTGGGAGTGGAAAGCTGCTAGGGTTGACTGATAGGCTTGCTTAGTGTGGATTTAAACAGTTCAGCAGTGGCTGTAGTTGCAAGACAGGGATCTAGCAGCACCCTTTCTTCAACTGCTCACCACTGCTTTCCATGAGCTGCTGGTGGTGGTGGCTCTGTCCTCTCCATTAGGCACCTCTAGGTAGTCTACAGATGTATTTGTTTTGTACTACTTAGGTACTTGAAGGATTTTTTTTCTTTAGACAACAAATTAGAAAAATGACTGCCCTTAACATGGCAGAGTAAGGAATGCTCCCTAGACTATTTCCCTAGAAAATAAAAAAGAACTAGTTTTTCCAGCCAGGAGCAGGGAGCCCCTTCCATCAGTGTATTTGATCCAGAAAGGATGTATGTCTGGGCTTGCAATTGGCAGGCGATAGGCAAAGCAAGCATTTCAAAGGCAAGTGTGTTATTTCTCTCCAAGCAATTTCATGGAGCTAGGATCTATAGGGCAGCATATCTAGCATAGTTTCACTGATGCTAAATTGACATGACTGGAGAGATGGTGACTCAAACAGAACAACCTTGAGAACAGAGGGTTTTTAACAGCACTGACCATCTAGGTTTATATGCCCAAGTTTCCTTTTGGGAGGTGGGAGAAAGTTGTTTCTGCCAAGGCAAGAAAAGAGAATTAAATAGATATCAAGTGTTTTCTGTATTGGGAAGAAAAACTAACAAACTTGTATGTTAGGCTGAACAAAGAAGTAAGGGGTAACTCGTGTTTTGTGGGTAGCAGTTCGTTCAGTTCTGGAGTCCATGTAAAATTATATTTAAAGATTATTCAGAAATAGACAAAACAAAGGTATAAAAACCACTTCTAGCTTTAGATATAGTAAAACATAGTAACCATGTCTCTAATCTTGATTTTCAAACTGTGGACTATTTGTGCAGGAGCCATGGTGAGAAGTTTCTCTTAAAAAAATGTGGTCTATTTTGAGAATAACTTCCTCAGAAGTAGTTCTTATGTTCTTAGATACACTTTATAGATTAAGAAGGTAATCTAAAATGTGGAGAAAAAAAATCTGAAAGATTTTGAAGTTTTTCAAGCCACCATGGATAATCAATGAAAAATGATACTGTGACTGAAAAACAGATGTTTTATAAATTGTGAAAATACTTGAATGATCTGAACTCTTGCCTCCTGAGTACAAACTTAGCCTTGATTAAATATGAAAGCTGATTATAAAAAAGTTAAATTCTATTGAAAATAGAGACAGGAATTTATAAGACTGGACACTAATAGTTACATCTGTCTTTTTAGCACATTTCACGTTTTGCTGACTCCTTGAAAGGGCAACTTTTTTCCTCTGTGGGGGAATCAAATTGCTTTCTTCTGGGCAAGGACATGCCATTAGTTACAAGACCTGTGGTTGTTTAAGTGCTTGATGCAGTCTCTCCTGATTCTTTAATATTCTGAAGAAAGCTGATAACATATTCAGATAGAGTATGCAAGGGTTTTACTTTCTGAAGTCCAGTGTAGTGGAAGCAGTTTGTGATTCTGGGATTGATTTCAGACTGTGCAGGTCTTCTGCCTTAAAAAAAAAAACCAACCAAACAAAAAAAAACACAACAAAACAAACCACAAAGGCACTTTATCTTGAGTGCACCAGGTTTGTGTACTTGTAGGAAGCCTTACAAGAAATTCAGAATAACTTGCTTATGGCATAGACCCATCCATGAGTACGAAGTCAAGCACAGAGTTGATTCTGTGCAGATTATGTGTACTAAAACAGTGCTGATAAAGTACTCTGTGCTCATTTGTCATAGATGGATATAGGAATAGGGTTCAGTTTGCTGTAGCTTGCACCAGCTCCTCCGCCATCCCAGTATTCTTTGCAGCCCTCAGCTGTCTGAAGTGTGCCGAGTTTATATTTTTTTTTGAAATTGTCAAGGACAGCTTGAGTTTCAAGGATTGTTGAATAAGAGCGTGGATGTGAGAATGCTAATGAGCGCAATATTGAAACCTGAGGGAATCAAACATATAAGAGAACAGTGAAACTGAAATTGTACAGTCCACTTTAACATTACATTCTTCAAACTAGTCTCATGAGAAGCAGTCAGAAAATAGAAATCACTGGGTTTTAAAACCTCAAAAGGAAGTGCGATGTGGTTTGGCAGAATTGTTGAATCACTTGCTTTTGGTGATGGAAGCTGTCTTGGAGTTTGAGAAAAGTTATCTCTGGTTCTTCGCTTTTACAGGTTATTTGCAGTAGAATTGCTCATGTTACTCTACTAAATATCTTTAAAATGCGTTAGAGATGTTTTCAAGAATTCATTGAAACTGCTTTCTCTCTGACTTCTCCACCTAGCAACTTCAGGCTATCCAGGGGGAGGAAGAAACTAGGGTTAAACCTGTCATCTTCTGAACTTATTTTATTGCTTGGGTGTGTAATTTCTCTTTTGACTCTGTTTGAAGAGGGAAGACTTGCTCACATGATGAGTAGAGTGCTAAGGATTACTTGCATGTTATGAAATGTTTGAAATTCAGAATATTCTATTGTATGGTTACCAAGAAAATTAAAAATGAAATTTTATTACAGTTCTCTTTGGTAGTTCTGAGGGAGAAATGGCTTTTCAGCAGACTTGAGCTTCAACCTAACTTTATTTGGAAATAAAGTTCCAAGATGCACTCTAATGGCCGTGAAACTTGGAAAATTAGGGGTATGTATTTGGCATCTGCCTCTCCTCATGGTGCTTTCAGTTGTGGAACTTCTGCCCTGCTGTTCCTTTCCACATCCCCAGTGTCCCCTCCCAGCTAAGCCTGGTTGTCCAAGGGTGCCCACCTCTAGTACTGGGTGACTCCTGCACCTCCTATGGCAGGCTACATACGATTTAATTGGTTTGAAACTGCTTGTATTGCCTGGCTAGCTGCTAAGCTCCTACTGGCTGGCCTCTCTGAGCTCTGGAGAGCAATGGACTTTTTTTTTCTGGCACAACAAAGTGGAGTTCCTCTTTGGTAAGGCAACAGACTTTCATAAAACCCATAGCAACCTTATCTCTGAGAACATGGTATCACTTTGACAAATGTCAGTCAGATAAAATAATGGGACCAGAAGTTACTTAGCAGTTTAAAATTATTATGCTGTAGTTTTCCATGGTGTGTTCGTGTAGGAAGTCATGG